ATATGGGAATGGTAGGAAACCATTTTTTTTTTTTTGGAAATGCATGAACATTTTCAGTTTTTATTCATTATCGTCTTTATGAGCAGTTGGCAGTTGTCACAAATGACATCAAGATGCCTAGCCGGAGTCAATTTTGTTCTGAATAGTTTTCAATCCGACAAGTAGGCTTACTCAGATTGGGCTTTTCTACTTTTCGCGCTGCCGTTCCGCTTCCGCTGTAATTGTGTAATAAATAATAAAGCGGAATGAAACGATGCAAAATGGAAAGCAGAATCAAAACAAAACCGCAAATAAGGCTACCAGAAACTCATATTTTTAATGGTCATAGGGTTACAAGAAGTTTAAAATAAAAATAAACCCCGTTAATATGCACGAAGTGTCATTCAGATTAGCGGGGGTCCACAGTATTGTAGGATATTTGGACACCGCAAAAATCTCCCTTTTATACCTGCACCATTCTAAACATGTGATTATAACCATTTCCCCAGAATTTGGGTACATTTTACTCATCGTAATAAAACTGGTTTACTCAGATTCTGCCAACTCCTTACTGCACATAAGAATGGGTCCGTCTACCCAGTCTCAGGGTACACAGAAAATGAAACTTACCCAAAGCTTGAGTTTAAGCAATTCAAATTTAAGTAAAACCGCAGTAAACTCAGCACGGAAAACACGATCGACGGAAAACAAATCAAGAAAAAAAATCTCTGTTAAATCTCTATAGTATTAAGTACTTACGACCACTATAAATTTCCAACGATTGCACATAAACACTCTCCATAGTCCAGTCCACAACACTCAACTTTATCGTTTTTGTTTTGAGCTATGATGGATTTGACGTATGATAGAGAAAGCTAGTAAGTAGAGAAACATGTAAAAAAACCTATTTACCAAATGTAAACAATGACTTTGAACTATTTTGGCTTGTATGCTTTTGCTCATGTTGCTGTATGGAGAACAAGGTACCCAACACGCTAACTTGAAAGTACCCATTTATAAGTAAAAAGGTCAATTTTGAAGAAAAGTGACTAAACTAGTATTAGTAGTTTTTTACCCATTAATGGGTAACAGATACTCATTAATGGGTAAACATTGCTAATTGAATGGTAATTGACTTATCTTTAAAATTTATATTTTTTACCCAATAATGGGTACTTAAAGTAAGTTAAAAATTGAGTTCACTTTCACTCATCATGTGGCTTCCATGAGGCTAGGTAAAATTAAATAAATTATGAAAACTAAATTTTGAGAAATCCTCATCATCAATCCATTGAGTGAAAATTACCTAACTATCAATTAAATGCAATTGGCGTTGACAGCGACTCTGTAGCTCTTTACTCCTATGTTAAAATCCATAAGTAAACTTCAGACTGTGCGTGAAACATGGCGTACTTCGTACTATCAACCGGTGGAAACTAACGATTTTAAATTGCTTCACTACTTGTATAGCCTATTGGTCCCAAGCAAATCGATTAAAGTATCCTATTCTAGTCGAAATTCTAGTACTACACTATGTTTGTTTTGATTCTGTATGGAAGTTCGACAGATAAAATGAGGGGTTCGTGGATTTTCCTATGTTTCGAGGGGTGCATCGATTAGCTTGGGACCAAAGATAGTACCAGAACTGAGGCAAAAAGTTGAGCACATTTTTTCGGGACCTTCTGGTCTTAGAGTTGGTACTATCACAAACGAAGTGACAGACGGAGCGGCTCGAAAACTTTGGTGACTAACCTGCTATTGCAATTTTTCAGTGTACCACATGGCAACACCACTACTACTGGATTGTACCACATGGCAACACTACTACTAGATTGAACTAGCATTTTAACCGAATGTACTAGAATGTTTTGGTTCTATCTCTTTCACTCTATTCAAAACTGAAATGCATAAAAAAATGACAAAATGATACGCACTCTTTGCACACTGTCAAAGAATCATTGTACACAAAATCAACTTTGTTCAAATCAAAACAAAAAAACTAACCCATCTGGTGGATGATGGCACAAGCTTCCAAGAAAATTCTATTACAGTGAACCACATTATTTTAATGGATTTCTTCGCCAGTAAGTCGTCTGTCACTTCGTTTGTGGTACTATCCTTTCACTTCACTGAAAAATCCCATAAGAAACTGTCAATCATTTCTAGCAGAGACAATTTTTCGAAGGTGCCGTCAACGCAAAAAATTGGCGTTGACGGCACCGTCGAAAAATTTGCTCTTCCAGCAAATATAGACAGTTTCTTATGGGAATTTTCGGTGGAGTGAAAGGATAGTACAAAGTCCACCATGTTTCACGCACAGTCTGACGTTTGCTTATGGATTTTCTCATAGGAGTAAAGAGCTACAGAGTCGCCGTCAACGCCAATGGAGCACGAACGAAGGCGATGAAGCACGTAGGTTGCTATGATTTTCATCCAAAAATAAGTTAAAATTTCCCAATGGTGAAAACATGACGGTTGAGTACTTATAACTTAAAATCGAATTCATTTTTATTTTTTTGGTTTTTGAGCTTTTGTTAAACTCAAGTGTTTTTGAGTGTTTTTTTCTTACCGTGTTTGTTAATCTATTACCCAAAATTGGGTTAACGATTATTAACGTGTTGAAAGTTTTCCTCCTGCCAGTTGCCAATGTGGTATGTAGAGGGATGGCAGATATAATCTGCATTTTCTTTTATGTGTTTGGATTACCTCTAAGCTTATTGTACATTCAAACTATAGCAGATAGGGGAAATGTCTCTAATGTTGGCCTATGGATCTAAGATTGGGCCCATCGCTAAAAATCTGCTATTTATCAATTTTATCTAGATGAACGCGTTATTGGGACGTTACTAATGGATATTTTTGGTTGCTATTGAAAATTTAGTCGATTGCTGAATTTATGTATGGGCCCAAATTAGGGACACTTAGGCCGACATTACCTGCATTTCCCCTATAACGTTATTTAGGCACTTTTGATAACGCTATTACGTTATTAATATCAACTATAGTCTGAACGTAGTACAATGTCATGACGTCAGGGTAGGCGTGTAACATGCATGAGAAAGCTAATACTGTTTGCCACACCTTTTATTTGACTAAACGTATGAATTGATTACACGCTTAAATAATAAGGCCACGAATGTTTTTAGTCACCTTTCTCACCGGGAGAGGGTATTACCATAGAGGTAACTCTAATACCCCGTTCACATTACAGCGTATATCACGTGATATACGGTGGCTTGCAATGAGCACTCATACATCTAGTTTTCACTGGAAATCTTATGTATGAGTGCTCATTGCAAGACTGCCTATATTACGTGATATACGCTGTAATGTGAACGGGGTATAAGCACAAACGAAGTTACAGACGACTTTCTCCGAAGAAATGAATTAAAATAATGTGGTTTTCTGTAATAGAATTTTAGTCCACCTTCCGCCCCTCACCGCCAGGGTCGCTAGTATTTTTGTTTTGAATTAATTCAAGTTGGTTTTGTGTGCAATGATCTGGCAACTCGTGTCCTTGCTCGTGTTGACGGGGTGCTGTTTTCTCACTCATCGAAGGAAATTTTGATTAGAGTGAGAAAGTAAGGAACAGTCAGCGCGGGAGCCGTGTGCGTTACTATAGGTGCGGCAGAAGGAATGTAGTCGACTCTGTCGTTCTCACGGTGTTCTTACGCATGATCCAACGTTTCGTCACACTAGATTATGCATAAGAACGTCGTGATAATGCAAGTGCTGGCTTGTTTCCTTCTGCCTCACCAATCACATTGATCACAGCACATACGATTCTCCGTCGGTTCGTGGTGCATTGTGCATTCTTTGTGCCATACCACCAGTCCAAACACTAGAATTTTTGGAAGGTTCTCCCTCAGTACCTGTAAGCAGTGTGATACCAGCTGACATTCGCATGGGTAGAGAAATCCGGAACATTTTCTCGCTTTTGAGCATCAACGTCAACCCGGTCTCGAATCGCATTTCCGCTTGAGGTGGCACCGTTGGCAGTAATCTATTGCGCCGTGGGAAAGACCTGCTTAGTGCACTAGTGCTGGAAAATTCTGCAAGTTCGTCATTAAAATTAAATCTACTTTTCTTCGCTGTAACGTACTCCGGATCAGACTCGCTGGTGGAACGTTTTCGTGGGACGGTTTTCGACCCAAAAAGCTTCAGTTTGAACTGCTTTCCAAAAGATTTCTGGGCAGGCGTCTTGGGACGCACGATCTCCACCGAGGCATCCGTTAGCGTGTTCGTGTCGGAGCGGATGACCTGTTTGATCGGCTGCAATTCTACCATCGATTTTCGGCCCTGCTTTTTGTTTAACTTCACACGATAGTTGAAATCGAACACGGTCGACGATCCGGCGGAGGATGCTTCGTCTTCATTCTCCGAAGAAGTCAACGATTTGATCTTTTCCGAGCTGAGCTTCTCGAGCCTTACGACCGGTTTGACTCGAAGTAATTTTTCGACGGAAGTTCTTCGTGGCAGTGGAATCTTCTTGACCAGTTCCTCCAGCTTCGAAGAAACGAACGAGGAAGAACTAGATGAAGACGTGGACAGCCGTCATTTCGACGTTGGTTTCTTTCGTGTAGAAACCAGATCGGAATCGCTGTCGTCACTGCCTATTGCGGTTCGTCTTTTCTGAGATTTGCGTTTTCCCCCATCTTGCTGCTTCCCCCATCTTGCTGCTTCCACTCTTCGGGAAGCCTCGGCTAGCTTCAAAACCGCTTCCGGCGTCTTTCGGACAATCGGACGACAAAAGGTGAAAACATAGTTCTTCGAGGGAACCTCCATGCACTGATCTTGGCGACAAGTCGAACCGCACGTTGCACAAAGGATCAGATCCCAACGCTTGCAATCGTCGTAATCTCGCCCATACCGACAGCGACACTCTTCAGTGTCACACTCCGAAGGACGTTCCAACTGATCATTGAATACATTCGGTTCCAGCTCCCACGAGGCATCCCTCGAACAATTAAAATAAAATATTCAGTATTCAAATACCGATTCACCCACCTCCGCCGCTTCGCTTAATTTTCCGGAATATAAATGCCACGCTGATGGATCTGCAGACTAAAGTCGTCCTTGTTGCACAAAGGGCAATTGAAAAAGTACCTCGCCGATTGGGCAAACTGTGCCACGTAGCTCCGATGGAACCAGCCATTCTGACAGCACGGGGCACGAATCGATTCCAGCTTCCTGTACGGTCCCATATCATCGTAGCAAATCCCACAGGCTTCGGTCTCGGAGTGTTTCACCTTATCCACCAGCGCTACGTGCTTATCGCACCACGACTGGAACGTTTCCACGTAATGCGACAGGCACTCATTCTGCATCCCACAAAGCGTATGCAGGTATAATGACTAGTTTTGCCACGTCTAGTAGCCCGGTCCAGAATAGAGCATCGCACCATCGTACCGCAATCATGCTCAAACGCGTGACATACAGCATCTTTATCCGAAATAAATAATAAATTGAACAAAATTGGTTTCATCCGATCCTCCTTCATTCTCACCATCTCACCTTCAGCACGTCGATCGATTCGATGGATTTCGGCATGATTTTGGAGTAAATTTTCCTTCTTCAGATCGCCCTCGTCGAGAGCTTTCAGTTCCTCTACGGAGGAGCAAATGCATACCGAGTATGGCAACCCGAAAAAAAATAATTATAATAAAATAACGAAATTACAATGATTTTTACGGTTGAATTTCGGGCACATTATAAATTTATTGTTAAATTATTGGACGGGTGAAAAAATAAATTTCGTTTTAAAAGATACAATTCTCAATGAAAATTAATTTGATGAGATCAAATTTGTTCGAGAAAAATCAGTTTTTTTATTGTTAAGATGCTTAACAACCCCCCTTTTTTACTGTACATTTCTCATATACCATGATTTTCGTTTTGATTTTATGATAATCAACAAAAATCTCCATTCAAAATCATTGTATTTTTATTGGATTTTTTACGGGCGGGTCCTGTTTGGCGTCCAACAACGATATCTTCTCGGTCGCGAATGACCATGGCTTTGGTTAGGAGCACCGACTGATGAAATCTTTAGCAACAATTGCCGCCAAAAAGCGCGAGTCATTGACAGCTCAACATCGTTTATTTGTAAGCAAATGTTAACCCGATGTGTTTACTCCTAATCATTTTGGCCTAAGGTCTTTCATTATACAAAAGAAGTGCAGATAACAATGAACACAACATAGTGACATGCAGTTTGACAACAGGCTCTCCCTTTCAATTTTCGTTAGAGAAAAAGAGATAACAGGCGGTGCCCCAATAGCATCAACTACTTTAAGCTAGTACATATGAGTAGATAGTGTTGCCGTGAGGTACACTCGAAAATTTCAAATGTAAGTGCGTCAAACCAAATTTCGAGCCGCTCCGTCTGTCACTTCGTTTGTGGTATAAGACTAGAAGCTCCCGAAATAACGTTCTCTACTTTTTGGCTCAGCTCTGGTACTCTCTTCGGTCCCAAGCTAATCGATTCACCCCTCGAAACATAGGAAAAACCTGGAAAAACCAATAACCCCTCATTTTATCTGTCAAACTTTCATAGCAAATCAAAACAAACAGTGCGTAGTACTAGAATTTCGACTAGAATGGGATACGTTAATCGTTTGCTTGGGACCAATAGGCTAGTCAAGTAGTGAGCCAATTTAAAATCGTTAGTTTCGTATTGATTGTTGGTATTACTTATGCGTCTTTTCAGAAATATATGGGAATTCTGGAAGTGAACCATATTGTTAATTTATAATATTTGATGACATGCTTCATATTTTAAAGGCATGGATTTTGTGATTAATCCCCCTAAAAGTGAAATGAAAAATTTATTTTTCCACAATGTCGAGATAAATGGTTGACGTCTTGAGCAAAGTTGTAGCAAAAATGATTACAAACAACTTTGCTGAAGACATAAAAGTCCTAAATTTCACTCAAATCGAGATAGAGAGCGTTGTTTGAGGACGGACCCCCAAAAACACGTTTTTCATCGAAACACATATTTTCTTTAATTTTAGGTCCTCATTATGTTCAACAAAGTTGATTGGTATACTAAAATACACATCGTTCTAGAACATACTATACCTGCATCATTTTAATATGATGAGTTATTGATAAATTTTCTTCTATTTTCCTCATATTTTGGACTTGCGTATCTTTCTTAGGTGCAGGAAGGTGCAGATGAAATCAAATGCATCTAAAACTACATTAAAGAGCTTTCAAATGGTGGTAAATTTGTCCGTCCACGACTGTCTGCTGGGGAGTTGTGATCAAAACAAGTATCTATATCTTTACTCTGTTTTATGGTATAACCAGTATAAAAAAGATAATCAACTTCAATATATCTACATATTTTTCTTGATTAAATTCTTTTTGTTCGATTGGTTTTGCATTTTTGTTGTCAATATTTTGTATTGTATTCAATTATCATCATTATTATCATAATCATAACCATTAATATAATCATTATCGTTTCCTTCAGCTTCTTTTGCTAGCAGCTCGTGCTTTTTAGGCCATCCACGAATGCTAGTAATCAATGGATCTGATAATACTAGGAGCCAGTTCAATAGATCACGATTTGTAAGCGATCTTGATTGCTTGCGGGTATTGAACTCTTGGTATCTGTTAAATAAAAGTTTTATTAATTTATTCGTTATTTTGTTTAAATACATGTACCTCTTCCAATCCTTGTTCCTTGCCTCCTGTGCTTCCTCAGAAAGCTGACCGATTAGAACAAGGAAATGTTCAATCACGGCTGATCCATGTATCAATACTTTATGAATACTAGCTGGCAAGTAATACCAGGTTCGATAGGATGGTGTTGATTAACAAAGCCAAAGCTTGTAGATCTGTATATTCGGGTAAAGAGTTGCTCAAGGACTTCTTCAAAGAATGAACCAACTTATTTTCATCTGCAGGACTTGCGTGAGAAACGGCTTTCAGGATATCCGTCACCTCTTTCTCACCTGATTCTCTCATCTTCATTTGTGTCGCAAATGCTAGCTCATTAAGATGGTAGCTATTCCGAACCTCTGCAGTTTTCTTCCTCTACGTTGTTTCACAACATTCTTCGAAAGGAACAACCTTCCGTCCTGCCACACTTTTTGCATTTTCAGAAATAGACGGAAGCAAGTTTAAAACGTTTTCAGGAAGCGTAAACGGCTTACTGAAATACTCGGCGTGACACTTGACAACCATGCACAAGCATGTTTGGACCAGAGCTTTTCAAAAAAAAGTCGCACATCGTTTTCACGGGTTTTCCTACATGTGCAGCCACATCCGGCATAATATTCACATTTATGGCATAACACTGGAGTACCTTCTTATAAACGCAGTTGAATTTTAATGATCGGCCTCCACTCGTTTTTGACCAGAGTGATAAGAGATCACGCTTATCAATTTCAACTTAAATTGAATCAAAAAAAAAAAAAAAGATCATTGGCACTTGCTGTGATCTACAATGAATTTAAAAATTTAAAAGAAATTAAGTCCTTCCAGATAATGTCATTTTACTTCAAAGCCCTGCTCTCGTAGCTTCCTCTGCTGTCCGGTTTCTTTGACAGAATTAGTCTCTCTCTCTCCTTCGCTTGGCTTCCGCAGTTCTTCTATCTTACATGCTTTCATATACTTTCACAATTCTCGATGAACATTTCAAATGGTCCTATCTGCTTTGATCGATTCTCTTCATCGACTTTCTCTTTTGATAACCACTGCTATGCAAACAGATTTGGCGCTAATTATTCAACATAGTTTGATAAAGGAGATTCTTATCTAGCATCCGAAACGTGAAATACAATAGCGAAAGGTTTTGAAGCTGAGTTAATAACGGAAGAGAAAGTCGATGAAGAGAATCGATCAATGTAGATATGAGCTTTTGAAATATTTATCTAGAATTGCTTCACGATTGATGAAAAACAGTGATGAGCTCTATGGAAAAACACTTATCGACTCACAAGTTTAACTGAATTTGACAGTGTTTTTTTTTCGTTCTTGATGCTTCAGTTTTGCCTTCTGGGCAATCTTTGGAAAGAAAATGTGCCGTTCTTGAATTTGATAAGCTCTGAGAAGTGGGAAATTTGTTTATTGAGTCGGTTACTATGGAAACGAATTTATTACGCGGTATAAAACACACTATCCCCTTGTTGTTGACATGACATCTATAAAGCCTATCAACGGGTGTTCGTTTTGATCATAACTCTCCAGCAGACGGTCGTGGACGGACAAGTTTACCACCATTTGAAAGCTCTTTAATGTAGGTTTTAGATTCATTTGATTTCATTTGCACCTTTTTGCACCTAAGAAAGATACGCAGGTCCAAAATATGAGGAAAATAGAAGAAAATTTATCAATAACTCATCCTATTAAAATGATGCAGGTATAGTATGTTCTAGAACGATGTGTATTTTAGTATTCCAATCAACTTTGTTGAACATAACGAGGACCTAAAATTAAAGAAAATGTGTGTTTCGATGAAAAACGTGTTTTTGGGGGTCCGTCCTCAAACAACGCTCTCTATCTCGATTTGAGTGAAATTTAGGACTTTTATGTCTTCAGCAAAGTTGTTTGTAATCATTTTTGCTACAACTTTGCTGAAGACGTCAACCATTTATCACGACATTGTGAAAAAATAAAGTTTTCATTTCTCTTTTAGGGGGATTAATCACAAAACTCATGCCTTCAAAATATGAAGCATTTCATACTCATCAACTTTGCTCAAGACGTCCTTACTCTAAATCCGCTCTCCATGGTGCTATTAATTAAGAGCGTCAGAATGGACTTTTCAACCACTGTGCATCGTCCAGTTTCAGTTTGAATGATACCCTGATGCTCCCTCCCAACCCAGTATTTATTTATATAATGAAAATATGCAATGGAGAAATGAAATATATCAGAACATTAAAATATTACATAATAAAATACATTTATATGGATAATATAGTTGCTACTGCAATGAAGAAGTATTTTACATATAATAAGATGCAGCTCTGTACCTCCTCAGCTCACAATGGCAAGTGGATGCAACACTGAAATGTACAGGATATATTAAGCAATTAAATAAATTTTGCTCAAATGATACTAACAATAATGCTAAAAATTGTGATGAATAACTAACATGACGAGAGATAATCTGCTTAATAATTATAAACATATAATATTATTTAATGTTGTTATTTTCTCTACTTCATCAGCTTCATATTAATTTCGATGACTTGGTTGGGTGAACTGAAATATTAAGCTGATAGAAATAGTATATCATGCAATGTATAATTTATATAATATATGTAGTGAAATACAAAATATAAAAAAAATAAACAAGTTTTGGTATTTA